CAGCTGGTAGTTTCAAACTGCTGACCTTGCAGTTCACAGCTCGATTCGTAACCACTATGCTACCAGAGCTTCTTTATGTTGTCATAATTACAGTAAATTGGAGAGAAGTTCAGTTGAATTAGTCAAGTCTAAATTATATTCTGTGATTATCATTTGATTGAAGTAGATACAGTATCTCAAAGGATAGTAAAGTTTCTCCTGATGAGATTACTTAAGGTAATACTTATATGAATTTGTCATTCATTCCAGTAATATTTATTGAACACCTACTTTGTACAAGGCAGTTTTAGTTGTTGAGGACTGAAATGAAAATCCTTGCTGTCATGGAGCTTGCATTCTAATGGAGTAAAGCAGAAAATAAACATATGTTAATGAATTCCTTGTTTGGCATTGTAGGATAAGCACTGGACTGCTAACTGCAAGGTAACCAGTTCAAACCCACCAGCACTCCTCAGAAACCCTTTACAGGGTTGTTATGAGTCAGAACTGACTCAGTGGCATTTAACAATAGTGACATCAATGATGATATGTGCAGTGAAAGAAAATAGCACCGGACTGTGAGCCACCAGTTCAGTGGTTTGAGCCCACCAGCTACTCTGTGGGACAAAGTTGACTCGTAAACTCTGTGCAGGGCTATTAGAAGTTGAAACCAACTCAACAACACTTAAGAACAGCAACAGAAGAGATAAAAATCAACTTGGTACAGGAGGATGCATTAATAATTGCTTATAAATACATACTGGAATAGAACGTTTCAGTAATTATATGGGGCATGATGGAGTTCCTGCGTCAGAGAAATGATTATGCTTGGCTCCTAACCAAAAGAAAGGCTGACAGTTCTAATCTACCCAGAGGCACCTTTCAGCAATGGCATGGCGGTCTGCTTGTGAAAGATCACAGCCACTGAAAATCTTACAGAGCTCAATAGTTTTTTGTTTTTGTTTTTTAATTTTTTAAAAAAGTTTTTTATTGTGGATTGAGTGAAAGTTTACAGGGCAGATCATCAGTTTTACATTTATCAAATCATACACCTTGTTTCATTACAATGATTATAATCCCCTCCGTGTACCCTCCCTTAACCGTATATCTTTCTATTCACTTTAGATCTTTTTTTAAAAAAACACTCGGACATATATAATAATTTACACCA